CTTTTGTTTCTATTTAGGCAAAGGACTCTTTTTTCACCATCTTTACGATCACAGCTGGGGGAAAATACAGTACGCTTGGCCCTCTGCATCCACGGATTCAACCATCCTTGGCTTGACAATATTCAAAATAGAAATTCTAAAAAGCAAACCTTGATTCTGCCATTTAATATAAGGGACATGTTGTACAAAAAGCTGGGGGTCCCAGGAGGGCACCCACAAATTAATATAAAGGAATATTACTAGTTCAAATAAAATACCTTGGCTGGGACAACATTCAGCCTTGGGATCTTAACCGTTTTTATACCCGTTCCAAACCACACAGAACTCCAGAGGCAATTTGAAACAGGTTTTGTAGTTTTTATTAATAAAATAATCAATGCGCGCACACACAAAAGCACACACTCATGCACTCACAAGAAACAAAACAAAGGTAGGAGAAGGTGAATAGTGGAGGCCTTGCTAATGGCGATACGTTACCAATCTTGAAGCGTGGTTCAAATTGAAGGGCATTCGGAATGGAGATGGTTCAATAGCTGCCAAAATCATATCTTGGGGCAGTAATCATGGAATGAATGGATTAACTCACTGCTAAATGGTTTTTCCAAGAGAGAAGAATGGTTGAGAGATGGAGGGAAATGCTTGGACGAATGGCATGAATATCTCAGTCATAGGAAATCTTGCACTCTTGGAGAAGCATCCTTTGTCCGTGATCCCATCATCCCCCTCCATAGATAAAAGAGATTATGCTGGTGCTTTAGGTAGTCTCATCATGGTGGGTGCCTTGGCTTACTCCCTTCCTAGAGCCAACCAGGTCTCCAAATATAATATGGCCAGGTTTCTACAGTGGGGTCGCCTTTCCAGGTCACCCACCCTTTTAATATTACATGGCTATCAAAATTGAGGGGTGATCAGGGGCTTGAGCTTGGGGTAGCAGGCACTAGAGTTGGCATCACCCAGTGTGGTAACTCATGGGATCACATACCCCATACCACACCATACAGAATCCTTAGAAATGTTTTTTTTTTTTGTACGAATGTTGCTCATAAATTATAATGCCCGTATATCACGGGATGTAATGCAATCGTTGTGTGACATAAACAACTAGCAAAATTAAAATTATACAGTTCAAATTACAATACTGTATACACACAGCCTAAATGTATTTACGTAGTTCCATGTGTTTGAAGTGAAAATTTGGTAAGATGTGATGTTTTTAAAGAGAATTTAAAAAGTATATATACTTTTAAAATTCATTTTTTGAACCATCCAGACGTGCTAATGCAACGTTCTACAGTTGTACATCTTGTCAGTCTCCAGCAGACTCTGGATTCACAGGGGATATGTTCCGAAACCACCACCCACCCCGCGAGTCCGAAATTTCATGAATATTCAAGTTCCCATTGGGGACAATGGGAACTTGAGTATTTGCAAATACAGTTCTCCCTCCCTCCCTCCTTACCTTACCTTACCTTACCTTACCTTGCCTCAGCCGGAGTGGTCTTCCTCCAGTGCGGTCTTCCTTCTGAGAAAATGGCTACACCGCTTGACACAGCCTTGCTTCAGCCAAAGCAAGGCCTCGCTTTGCGCCGGAGGAAGACCGCGCCGGAGGAAGACTGCGCTGGCTGAGGCAACGTAAGGTAAGGAAGAAGGGAGAGAGGGGAAGGAAGGAAAAAAGTAAGGAAGGAGGGAGGAAAGGGAAGGGAAGTGAAGTGAAGGAAGGAGGGTAGGAGGATTTGTCCCGTAGGCTTGCCATTTGCGAATATTCAAAACCGCAAATGGCAATTCTGCAGATATGGAAGGACTATATATATATATGAGAGAGACAAAATCCACTTCATCCACTCCTAGACAAATCCAGTTTTCTCACCCATGCCCTAAAGAAATTATGGATTTGTTTGTAAAATACACTCAAACAACGCTGTCTCTAAAAACCCAAAGTGTAAGTTTACACAAACCCATAGAAATATCAGAATTCAACCCAACATTTCTGAAGTTGTAATCTTTTATGTGTCCCCAATTAAAACAACAACAACATTAACTGTTCTCATTCATTTTAAAATAATAATAACAAACTTGAGATATACAGTGAGTCTTTGCAAGATTAAAAGAAAAGCTAGGTCTAGGAGAATTATGTTTCCCCCAAGTTATTTCCAGATGATATTGCCGCCAAGAAGTGAAACAAGATGTGCCAATTATTGAAAGTTTATTGAGCATTGTGCATCAATATCCTGGAATTGAGACCCTTCAAGGAGTCTGCTGAAGACTGACAAGATATACAACTGCAGAACCTTGCATTATCACGTCCGGATGGTTCAAAAAAATAAGAACTGCTATATGAACCTGTCCTCTGTTTGGACCCTTTCATTCCATCGATTGTCTGCAAGACAACAGTCTCAGTGACTCAGCGCTGTTGTACCATGCAGTGCAAGAGCAGCTAACAAAAAGGAGAGGAGCTGAAGGAAGGAGAGACTGCTTCTTGCTAATTTTTTAAAAAAGGCATGGATGTGCATTTTGCTGGGGGAGAACTAGACCTTACACTGTATAAGTTTATTACCTTCTTCAGTCCCAGGATTTCACATATCTCCTATGGGGAGTCACATATTGGAATTGTGGGGCTGGATGGGATACCAAGAGCAGTGGCATAGAATCGTAGAGTTGGAATAGACCCCAAGGGACATCCAGTCCAACCCCCTGCCATGCAGGAATACACAATCAAAGCGCCCCCAACAGATGGCCATCCAGCCTCTGTTTAAAAACCTCCAGGTTCCATCACACTCCGAGGGAGCGTCTTCCATTGTCAAACAGGTCTTACACTCAGGAAGTTCTTCCTAAAGGCATGTATGTGCATGAAGCCTTGCCACTCAACAACAGACCAACACAGATTAACATGTAAATCACTTCCTCCAAACCAAGGGTCACACAGTATATATACCCCACTCACTTAGAATCATAGAATCATAGAGTTGAAAGAGACCACAAGGGCCATCCAGTCCAACCCCCTGCCATGCAGGAATTCCCAATCAAAGCATCCCTGACAGATGGCCATCCAGCCTCTGCTTAAAGACCTCCAAGGAAGGAGACTCCACTACTCTCCGAGGAAGGAGTGTGTTCCACTGTCGAACAGCCCTTACTGTCAGGAAGTTCCTCCTAATGTTGAGCTGGAATCTCCATTGTTTTGGGTCCTAATCTCTGGAGCATCAGAAAACAAGCTTATTCCCTCCTCAATATGACATC